GAGTCCTGATTTCCTTCCCTTCACTGTTAGTTCCCTGTATATTTTTCTTTATTTCACTTCGCATAGTCTTCACTTTTTCCTGTATTTTGCAACCATACTCAACCATTTCTGTGAGCATCCTGAGTACCAGTGTTTGAAACTCTGCATCTGATAGGTTGCCTATCCCTTCATTGCTTCATTCTATTTGTGGAGTTTTAATCTGTGCTTTCATTTGGGCCATATTTCTTTGTCTAAGAGCACCTATTATATAGTAAGGGGTGGAGACTTAGGTGTTCACCAGCTTGGGGTAACTCACATTGCTGGCTTGTGGTGCTATATGTGGGGAAGGGATCAAAGAGGGAAAAATGCCACTTGGTCAGCTCTCTGCTGACTTTCAGTCACTTCCCCAGGTATCCACAAGCAAATTTGTTCCCTGTGGTGCTGATTCCCAGGTGGATGGGTTTGTGTACATTTCAGGACCCTGTGGGTGTCTCCAAAGAGCTCTCCTGTGAGGCTGGGAGTCTCTCTCACTGCCACAACCCCCACAGGTTTTACAACCAGAGGTTGTGAAGCTTTCTTTTCCTGTGCTGGAACCCTGGGTTGTGCCATCTGTCTCATTCCCCAGTTGTTCCTCCTGGTTTTTCCACACTCAGTGTGGGACCACCAGCTACCATGTTACCTGCCCAGTCCTCCAGCTGCTACCTTGCTACCAGTCCTCTCCACCCTGACTGCCTTTCTGCACCCCTCCTACTGGTCTAGATGAATGTTTCTTTTTTAACTCCTTGTTTGTTGAACTTCCATACAATTCAGTTTTCTGGTAGATCTCATTGGTTTTTGTTTTTAAATTTGTTGTTGACCTTCTTTTGACTGTGTGAGGAGGCAAAGTATATCTGCCTATGCCTCCATCTTGGCCAGAAGTATCTGACTTTTTTCTTCTTCTTACCTGTTATCTACTCTCTTTTCTCCTTCCTCCATTCCTTTCTCTCCCCCCCCTTCCTTTTTTTCTTCCTTCTTCTTATTCATTATTCATACCTGAGAAGTAAAATTATGCTAATTAAAGGGGGGAGGAGCAGAAGGACCAATATGTCCTAAAAGAAATCTTACCTATTACCCAGCATTGACCAACCACCTCCTGTGTGAATGGGGCCATTTTGGACTTTTGAGCCATTGCAGTTGCTCTCTGACTACCCCACTTCAGTGAGCACAGGCAAGAGGACAGCAGAAGAGCCTCCCATTATCATCCAGAACCACCAGAAGTGATAAACTGATGTTGTAGGCCACCAAGTTTGGGGATGGCTTGCTACACAGCAAAAAGGATCAAAAGAAGAGCATCCTGTAGCTGATGTTCAACAAATAATATTAATCTATATAAAATTAGAATAAAAATTCAGAGGTCTGCAAAAGATTGCTGTGATCCTATGTAATATATAGTGCCCAGGGAAATTTTCCCCTCCACTCCTTCACCCTCCTCACTCTCACACCATCCCCACCCCATGCTTCACCTCCACACAGAGTGCAGCCTCATTTGAATGAGTCCCAGAGCAACTGAGGCCCGGATCATTCTGGTTGACTCAGAGTTATAAAAAATTTTGATTTCAGCACTGATAAGGAATCTTTTGTTGGCTAGTATCTATTGATTCAAGTCCTTTAAGAAAGTGACCCAAATTTTTATTATCTCTGGGACCTTCCGTACCAATTGCTTTTATGACAAATTTGCAGAGGATAGCTTATTTTTTTCATATTTGGGAGATGTCAGTTTAAAACATTCTATGTCAGGGAGAGGTAATTTACAGGTGTGGGCAAAAGTAGGTTTATAGTTGTGAGTACACGAAACAGTTTATTCTTGTATTATTATTTCTTAATTACTGTATTATTTTCTGTACAAACAGCTGTAATCCTACTTTTGCCCATTCATTTTAATGGGTGATGGTCCTCCAATGTCTCTAGATATTTTCTGTTAAAATAGCTAAGATAAATTCTGTTTTGAATTTTAGAAAACTTGCGAGTTTCCGGAATGACTCTGCTATTTATACAATAGCTTAAAGGAAAAAGAGATAAAATAACTTACCACCAAGAAAAAAAAAATAACCCCACCAGTGTGACAATGTAAGATTTATAAAAAGGCTGTCAAGTTATTTTTAAACCCAAGATCCTCTGACACCAATTTTCTGGAATTTATTTGGATTATAATTTTAAAAGCTAACTTCTTTTGATTGAATAATAATTTTAAAATTTTGTTACCCTTTTCTGTACAGTCAGTTTATCAGTGCCTGTGTTGTGTTTCTTTTCAAGGACATCAAAGAGAATTATGCAAATGACAATAATAGCAGTTACCAGCAGCATTAGTAGTAATAGTAGATTAGTATTTATATACCACTACTTTGCTCAAATATTTGGGGTCTCACCTTTTAAATAGACATTGTTAATGACTAAGTAACACAGTGAAGAGAATTTTGTAAAATGCCAGGAACACAGTAAATACTTAATCGAACTTTATTAAACAAACAAACAAAAAACTAGCAAAGTTTATTTACCTAAAATGCTGACTAGTAAGCTTGTGAAATTTTAGTGACTCAAGAAATGTGTTAATACTTCCTCATGAACCTTGTTGACAATGTGCCTTTCGTGACAAAATACAGTGGTTGATTAAGACAATGACTTGATGATCCTGTGCTACATGCATTCCTCTTTCCTGGTACCAACTAACTCAAACAGCATCACTAGTTCAAAAGACTTTCAATATTGTTTCTCCAAAAGGAGTAGGAACTTCTCAGTAATCTTACTAAGTGAACCAAGGAAAGAAACTGAACTGTGTTTGAGTCCAGTGAAACCAGTAAATATTGTCCACCCTGGGGGCTGTGATGGACAGAAAAGGAAAGATACTATGAATAATGTCAAAAATTATTATATATTCCACTGGATACAGTTTTGAGCTTCTGTTTGAAAAAATATATCTGATTTTTAATGATGGCAAAAAGCTATAAGGTCATCACTCAGGAAGACCTCGAAAGAGGTTTGCTTTCCGTGCTTTCTTTTCTATTAAGATTCTCTCCACAGTTCACTCCACATCTCAGCCCTTTGAAGGCTACCAATTTCCAGCTTACGCTTTTCCAAAAGCCTTCTCTTAAACTATGCATTTATGGTTTGGGAGAGGGAGAAAATCATTAACTTAAAATGTTCTACTGAAAGACTGTAAGTTATAAAAGGAAAGCAAATGAGATGGAGAAAAATAAGGACTAGACTAAAAAACAGGAATTAAGAATTAAGTAGGTGTAGCCAATAACTGATGAACAAGGAAAATTGGTTTAAGACTTTACAAAAAAAACTTGGAAAGATTAATTACTATAATCACTCTTTTGATAGAAAGTAATTTTGTACACTTAATATTTTAAAAGCTTCTTCTAGAATTTTAAAGATATAAAAATTAAACAAAAAGAAAATGGGAAGTTTAAACATGGTATAAGATTTATATACAGCTATAAAAGGAAGACAACTCTTGCCCAGGACCTTATCAATTATGCCCAGCCTTCCAAATGGCCTTTTTCATACCACAAGTACTTTTGGCCATTTGGAATTTGGTTTGAGAACTGTAGCTGATTAGAAAGCAAAGAGAAACTTTCCTTCATGTGATAGATATTCATTAATTTATTCACTAGCACTGTTTAGGACCCTACGTGCCATAGGATTCACGAGGTGTTCAAATAAACCTTGGGCATGACTCTGCCTTCAAAAGCATACCGTCCAGTTGAGAAAGCAAGTCTACAGATGGGACAGAGGTGCAGACAATAACATATATAAGCCAGCCTGGATGTGTAAGTCCACCTCTGTGTCTTAGTGAGGGTTTATATCAAGTGGAGGTTGAGATCAAAATCCTTAATTAGGGTCTGAGAATTGAAAAATAAAGATCTTATTGCAACTTATATAGCACAAAACTAGAAACACCCTTAAAATCACCAATAAGATATAGGTTGGACAACTGTTAATGCCATAGAATGTCATACAGCCATTAAAGAAAATGGGACATAAGTACACTGAGGTGGCATGAAAGGATGTTGAAGACATACTTTTGAAAGACAAAAGCTGTATAATGACTCCATTTATATAAAAAGTTCTATGTCTATCTCTATGTACATATGTATATCCCTGTGTGTTCTGTGTGTCTACACATATACATATGTGTATATGTAAATACAGACAAAATAGAACACTAAAGCCAAGTTATTATCAGTAGTTACCACTATAGAGTGGGAATGTGAAATAATAGTAAAGAGAAACTTGCATGCTTTACCCCACATGCAGTGTATGAGTCTTTTACAATAAATTATGTATTTCTCTGTTAGACCAAAAAGAAAGGGAAAAATAACAATGCTGGCTCTTGCTTTGGGTCTATTCAAATGGCAGAAACAAGTAGTTTATTTTATAGCACAAAGGAGGATGAGTTTACTTCTACTTTCTAAATAAAATGATAAAAAACCAATATATTTTGAAGACAGAAATGTCCCCATAAACTAATATGCAAAGTGAGGTTTTGTTGGTAATTCATTTATGTTATCCACATACTACAAACAAATCCCAACATTTATCAACAACCAGGAGAGGAACATCTGCTTTCCCAGACAACTAGAAAAAGAAGATAATTCTCTTTTTACAGTCACATATTTATGTTGACAGGTACTCATAAATTATCTATTAGGCCTCGTATAAATTATATTATAGGGAAGGAGGGGCATATTACATAGTTACACAAAGAAAAGATGTGTATTTCTGTCTAGTTCTCACGTAAGTGCAGTGTTACGTACGTGTAGGGGAGACAGTGCTATGAATTAATACATAAAATGAAATTTAGCAGGAACTTTGACTTGCCTGGCATTTATCTGGGTTGAGCACAACTTAACCACCATTATACATATATTACCACGTGATCTCACTCCTCCCATGCCCCCACTGCCCACACCGCCAGTCCCTATCCTTTTTCTCTTTACTGGCCTTGAGGGAGTGTGTATAAAAGACATCAGGAGAGTGTGAAAAGCTACTTAGCTGCAGACTCCTTGGCAGCCATTCACCCTCACGCTGACGTCTCCTCACCTGGGAGCAACTCCAGCTCAGTTCTCTCCACCATGGGCTTCAGACCCAGCACCAACTCCTCCTATGCCCATACCAGCCCACTTCATGTTTTACAGGTGTTGCTGCCACTATCACTGCTCCTGATTGTGCTGGTTCCCTCCACCATTGGAAAAAGTAAGAGAACTTTAGGGAAGGCTGACAGTGGAGTTCCTGCTTTCCCTGTGGCTGTGGCTGTTTCCACTGCAGCTGTGTCTGGGGGTGGGAAACTGACAGGTGTGCCTGGGACTGAGGAAGGAAATTATACTAATAACTCTAAATGGAGGGGCTAACATGTGCCAGGCTTTCTGCTCGGGTACTTTATTGAAGGTTTCAGATCTTATTCTCAGTGGCCTTGTGAGAGAGCTACAATTCTCTAGGAAGGGGACTGAGGAATCAAGTCAATAGACAAGAGGCTTAAGGTAATCGTGACCACTAATGAGTACCACTGTTTCTATCCCAGCTACGGATGTGGTTAAGGAGCTGTATATTGAACTTCGCTGCAGGTGTGTAAAAACCATCTCTAGCATTCATCTTAGTAAGATCCAAAGTGTGAATGTGATCAAGTCAGGACCCCATTGCAACAGAGTTGAAGTGATGTAAGTTCCTGCTTCTGTATTATTAACTCATTAAGGAAGCCCTCTGCCTCTATGCCTTCAGCCCCATGGATCCCCTCTGAAAGGACAGGATACTCAAGTAATTCTATTTTCCCTTGCAGAGCCATGTTGAAGAATGGGAAGGAAGTCTGCCTAGATCCAGAAGCTCCCAGAATCAGGAAAATAGTCCAGAAAATTTTGGAAGATGGTGGGTCAGCTGCTTAATCACTTTCTGTCATCTTTTTTTCTCTCCCAGGAAGAGTAAGGGTTTGAAGCATTAACTGTCTAGAGTTTTTATTTACTTGGAATGCTTTCCATTCTGTCTCAAAAATTACATTTTATTCTGAGAAGGCTGACTAATAGATAACAGAGAAAAGAATGGAAGTAAACAAACCTGGTTTCAAAATAAAATATATGGTATGCTCCCTAACTCATGGTTAAATGTCATATTGTACTTTGCATTTCTTTATTTAAAAGCTTCTTTCCTAATAGCTTTGTATTGACTTATCTTGTTCTACTTTACTGTTAAACTAGATATACCCATGATGATTGATAGATTTCATAATGATCAACGATATTAGGATCACGTAGAGCCCAGCATACAGCACTTGCTCAATAGAAGTTGTTCATATGTCTGGGGACTTAATGGAGTTTTTCATTGTCTTAGTCCTAAGTTGTCTTGTTTAAGAGAATTCTTTAAAAAAACATTTCTAATGTTTGTTTTAGCTTTCAAATCCTAAAATTAATAAAGTTGTAGAATATAAATTTTTTAAACACTGGTTATTTACTTGAAAGTGAATATATTTAATACTAGTAAGCAAAAGAAAAAATACATAAAAAAATTAACAAGCTCTATCAAAACTTCCAGTATTTTCTACAACAAGAATAGTAATAATACAGAGTCTACCTGGTATAAAATATTTTACCTTGACATGTTTGTACATATTTGATTTGCTCTGTATTTCCAAGGTTAAAATTTTAATATTAAAAGCAGCCTTGCAAATAAGTGCAATAATTAAAACTTCACCAGACTACTAATTATTATTTTGTAATCAACATAACTTTCATTTATTTCTTAATCCCTTAAATTTGCACCCACACTAGTCTTACAGAACAATTAGCATGAAATCAAAATTTGTTATTACTTTGTTATCACAGATTAATTTTAACAGAATTGTTGAGGGGAAGCCTTAATTATCCTTTTCTTCTTTTTTACACTTTTGTATTCACAATACGACCAACAAAAGTCACTAGCTGATAATCTATTCCATTTTTAATGTACTATAATGATAGCTAAACTTTATGAACAACTTTTAATATGCCAGATATAATAAGTGTTTTACATGTAAGAAATAATTCTTACAAGACAGATATGACCTGATTGAATGTCCTCCAGAGAAAGAATATCTGGGTGACTCAGCTCTATCCCTTACTAGCTCTGCAACTTTGGGCAAGTGGCTTAACCTCTCTGTTCCTAAATTTCCTCTCTTTACAATGGAATAATAATATTGCTTATCTCATAGAGTTGATGTGAAAAGTAAAAGTTAATATATTCAAGGTGTGAAAATACAGCATGTCACACAACTACCCACTTAGTAACATTAGTGATTACTTGTTAAATCAGCACTCAGTATTACAGAGAAGAAAAACTGAAGTTCAAAGACATTAGGAAATTTGCCCCAAGATCAGATAACTAAGTAGGTGACAGAGTGGAGATTTGGAACTGTGCTCTTAACCACCACACCACACCACTTCCCTTGATTCTGATTCTTCTTTCACTAATAAAGAGATTATATCATATATTACATGGCATTTTTGACACAGAAAATAAGGCTTGTAACATAAATAGCCTATTGCACAGACTACAATAATTATAGGATAGTAAGTAAGTTCACCTATCCCAACTTGTACATGGAATTTCAGACACATTCATGTATTAAGCATTGTTACTTTACAAACTTGGTCTTGTAAGGTCTCCTTTTGTAATCTTCTCATCATTATAAGATCAATGCCTTAAAATGCTTTGTCCACAAAATAAATGCATTTATTAAGCAATAGTTAACTGAAAATATGCATAAATAAACTTGGGATTAAGCAGTAAATGAGGATTGTAGTCATTGTCAGTTTTTCTCTAATAATTCAAAATAGTTCAGCATCTCTTTCACTTCTCCAGTCACCTGTTACTGAAATCCAACAGGAGCAGCTCCTGAGACACGTCACAATATTTGTGCTCTGCTGACACCTCCTGAGACGTAGATGTCTTTGATTTTTGTGTACACATATAGAATTGCTCTATTTAGATGCAGAAAAAGAAGTGATTTGACACTTACTACTTCCTGGGTTCTTTAACACTTCAAATATTGAACTTGGAGGGTAAGGTTGTACAAATCCATTATGTTGCCCATCCATCTCCAAAACCACTCTTCCTATTCATTCGCTTTGCCACTAACCTGACTTCAAAGTTTCAGTCTCATGAACATATTCTGTACCAGCTATTGTGTTGAATGCTGGATATTCAAAAACGTGTAAGTCACAGAGAATTGCCCTTGAAGGGATCACTGTCTGGTGGGAGAGGCAGAGTATTTGTCACATAAGCACAACTGCATGTGACACTTACTAATATAGGGCTATGCTCTAAATGCATGAAGAAACAGACACATGAACAAGTCAAAGCCTCAGCATCATTAGTTTCTACATTTATTATCTTCACTAACTGTGGTAACTTTATAGAGTCCCTGTAGTGCACCAGTCTGACAGTGGTAAACATTATGATTTCTCACCTCATACAGCACACACACACACACACACACACACACACATATCTGCACATAATATATGTATGCACATTCTTATAATATGTGAGAAATAGGAAAAAGAGAGGGTGCCATAATGCACAACCACAGGGAACACAATTAGCTTCAGCTGTCAGGGAAGGCCGTCTGAGGAAGTGATATTTAAGCTGACACCACAATATGAGTAGGACTTAGCCAGCTGAAAGGGCAGATGGTGTGAGAATAAGAGAAAGAACATTGCAGGTCCAGGAATTAAATTGCATGTCCCTGCAGAAGTCTGTTCCTGCTGAGCACTGAGAGGCAGCTGGTTCCATGTGGCGGGCTCCTGGTGGCCTGCACCACTGTTAATCAGTGTGGCAGAGAGCCTCTGGCTATGAGATGAGGGTGTACTTTGCCCCCATCAAGAACCAAAGCCATTCTTTTTCAGGGAGGGGAAGGCGGTCCATAACGATCTCTGGACCTTTCCTATGTGCAGGATTCTGATGCATATCCTCCACCCTCTCTCTCCCACACAACTCCTAGATGCTCAGTGTCCTGAGAGCTCCACTGGCCCTGTGAACAACGCAGCCTAGCTCACATTGTCCCTGGGACTGGTCCAGGCCTCAGCAGGCGCTGGAAGATGTGCCCTGGAAATTCTCCTTCTTCACCTCTCTTCTTGGCTGAGCAGAATGAAGAAACTTCCAGGCACCACGTTTTACAAAAAGAGTGCATTCAAATGTTACTTTCACATTTTTTTCTCAGACTAAGAGGATCAATGAGGATGATAGACCTCGCTTCCTAGAGTATATTGGATGATGGGCTGGTAGAGCTGGTGGATCCCATGCAGGAAACAGAGGAATCCTTTCACAATCAGGTGAAATTCAGAACTGAGTCGTCACCTAGAGACCAAATTCAACCTTTTGGTAGCAGAAAAGAATGACAAACTACACACCTTTAACACAGAGAGACACTAAACTCAACTCAGTGGTAATCAACAAGATAGGCAGGAGCAGATGAGCAGTTCTTTTTAAGGCAACTGACTGGAAGATGGGGAGGGCACAGAAACTGTCTGTCCTGAAGGTACATGCTATGTACATCGCAACGGGGTGGCTCCGGGGAAGTTTACTGTTACACATAACAAAGAACATATCTTTTATAAGGTTCAAGTACTGTTTCTAATTCCACAAATGTGCATGTATATGAAAACAGGTTAGGGTGTGGATCTTGCTACTGGCTTACAGCCAAGACAGATGACCCAGGCTTTTTTTCTGTTCCCCTAATCTTGGCTGGCCAGAGCCCAACTCTTATGGGCTAATGCACCGCAGCTCCTCACCCTCCACACAGGCTTCCGGACTGGACGGACACTGGGGATAAAACAGGCCTGAAGAGTCTCAGAAGCACTGGTCTGCATCCGACTGCCCTTGAACTCTGGTCTCCTGTTGGCACCTCGGCAACATGAGCCTCAGAGTGGGTTTCTGTGTCTTCCCCATCTCCGGGCTACTGCTCCTAGGGCTGCTGCTCCTTCCAGCTGTGGTCGCAGGCACCAGCGGTGAGAAAAGAAGCAAGACAAGGAGGGCGGGGGTGGTTTTGGGGAGAGAGGCCGGGAACTCCCGGGGCTGCGGGAGAGTCTGTAATATCCATTCTGCTTCACTGAGCACAGTTGGGTGTGTGCTGGCACTGTGCCAAGCGCTGTTCCGAGCACTTCACCACCTAGACAATACTTCTTTCTGAGGTTTGTGGACAAGGAAATGAAGGCCGAACCCGGTGAGACCCCTAGGGAGCCATTCTAGGAGTCACCACTCCCTCTCTGACTCCCGTGGCTCCCCTCCCCCACCGCCCACTTCCTCTGCAGAACCTGAAGAAGGAGAGGGGGATCTGCAGTGCATGTGTTTGAAGACCACCCCCCGCGTCCATCCCAAGTTCATCATCAGACTGGAGGTGATCCGAGCTGGACCCCACTGCCCCACCTCCCAAATGATGTGAGTCCTGCACTTACTCCTTATGCCCATCCTCTGCCTCCTCCACCTTGGCCTCTTGCCCCTCTACCCAGAGCCAAATCCTATGTTCAAACCCAGCAACTGAGGGGCTGTCTTTTTCTTTTTTCCCTGGCAGAGCCACGCTGAAGACTGGGCAGCAAATTTGCCTGGACCCTCATGACCCCTTAAATAGGAGAATGATCCAGAAACTTGCGGGAAGTAAACCACTAGCTGACTGAATCTGCGCATTCACTGTATAGTGTATTTTGCTTTCCCTCCTCCATTTTCAATCTATCTGTGGAAAAATCCGACGTTTTATTATCCTTCAAATTCTAAATAAAGAAAGTCAATCGCATTGTGGTACATTCAAAATATTTCTTAATTGAGCTAAGCGTCATAATATTACATAAGAAAAAATTCTCTAGAATTTTAAGCAAAAATATTTAGGATGGAAGACTTGGTTTAATAAACACTGGTTTTGCTTGGTGTTGTATGTTGGCTCAGAGATACTTGCATATTTACATGATTACATTACTAATGAGCTGCTTATTTACATATTAATGCTATAATTACTTACATCAATAAATATTACTAGCACTTAAACTTTACTGGGCTGCTTTGTAAAAAACATTAAACAAATCAGACTTTGCTTTTATCGCCTTAAGATTTATACTCTAACTCCACCCAGCACTACACAATTAATAAAAATAAAACCACAATCTCTACTACTTAATGAAAATATATCGATATTTTTCAAAGAATATTACAATATTTTACTCTTTAGTGACCCTTTGATAATGTTGACATTTCACAAAAATGAAATATTAAGAACAGTTCTCATGTCCACATTACTGCCTGCATTTGGCAAACCTAGAGAATTGATTGTATTCCATTTGTATACCATGAGCATTACTCTAAACATGCAAATGCTTTGCATAGCTTTTTCCCTCAGTATTCTCAGGGTCAGTGAAACCTTATTTTCATTTCTATGAATCCCTTAACACTGGAAATATTGAGATTATATGTCAAACAGCTGTGATAACCTGGAGAGACGCAAGGTTGTGTTTTTATTCATGCTTTGGGAAGACAATACTGTACTTTGAGGAGAAAGGACAGTGTTTCAGGACAGGTGTGTTAGTTTTCTATTGCTTCTGTAATCAATTACCACAAACTCAACAGCTTAAACAACAAAGACTTATTATTTTACAGTTGTGGAAGTCACAAGTCCAAATTTGGTCATGTGAGCTAAACTCAGTGTCCTCAGAGCTGCATTCCTTCTGGAAGCTCTAGAGGAAAATCCATTTCCTTGCCTTTTCAGCTTCTAGAGGTGACCTACAGTACCTCAGCTTGTGGCCCTGTAGGATAAATGGAGGCAGTCTGGCTTCCTCACCCAGGTGTCTGGGCAGCTAAGGGAAGCAGTGTTCCCATAGCCTTGGAGGGGCCTGATAACCAGTGTTCTCATGGCCTTGAGACTGGGTCTGATAAACTGTTCCCATAACACAAAGTGAGCTCACATGCACAGAACACGTTATGTTACGTTATGTTATGTTATGTTATGTTATGTTATGTTATGTTATGTTATGCTAGGCTTTGGCAGTGTTCTGGCTTTGTTCCCCTCTGGTACTTACACAGGTAGGGGCTTCCCACTAGATAGGCACGCAGCTTGTGGCCTGAGTGGTCTCCCACTGGTAAATAAAGGCATGTCAAGCATCACCGCAGCTCCACGAATTTTCTTCTGTCTACCGGAGGCAAGAATGGATCTGCCCAGCCTTGATCAATTGCAGCACAGGCTCCTTCCTCTGTCTTTCCAACCTGTTGTCATTTCTTATTTTTATACCCTGCCTGCCTCTTAAAAGCACTCTGGTGATTATGTTGGGCCCACTGGCATGGTCCAGGATAATGTTCCCATCCCATGATTCTTAACACACATGAGAAGTCTTTTTTTGCCATACAAGGCAAAATATTCACAGGTTCTGGGGGTTACAACGTGGAAAGCTCAGGGGGAGGGGTCATTATCCAGCAGAAAGGCAGAATCTAGTTGAGGCAGGAGAAAACTGCAGACCCTCACTCATGAGCTAATGCCATGTCAACCTAATGTGGTAATGTTCGTGTAGAGGAAGGAACTGAACTGTTGAGAAAAAATGTAGAATGGTGCAATTTAGTTTCCATGGGAGGGGGAGAGAGAGGGCAAGGGGCAGGAGAGGCTTTGACAAACAACTTAAAGAAACATTATCTATAGAGACTTTGAAGTACCACAGTATCTATTGTCTAAATCTCCACACCCACTGTGCCTGGTAGGTAATATTATTCACATTGTAATGTTGAGATAATCTCAAAAGGTTAAGGACGCTCCCAAGGCCACAGTTGTTAGAGGCTGCATAGATTAGTCTGACCACCAACTCCCTGCTCTTGCTTCCACCATGTGCTGGCTTTTTACACGGGCTGGTGGCACATTAGCTAATTATTCATAGAGGAACTATTCCTTAAACCAGCTCTGGAAGGTGGAGTAGTAATTTGCCAGGGAGACAAAAGAGGAGAATGGAACTGCCCCAAGATGAAAAATAAGCAGAAAGAAAGACACAAGATCAGCAAGTACTCAGCACGGTTATTGTTCCTCTGAGTTGGAGTGTCTGTGGGGAAAGTGAGTGATCGTATCCCAACTAGTTTTTGCCCATTTGATTTTTTCACTTTCAGTTCACCTTATGCATAGTTATCTGAATCATCTTTTCAAGACACAGCTACTTCCCTGCATAAAACTTTCAAGGTCCAAAGTCCTGAGCATGACACTCAAGTCTGTGCCCCAGCCACTTTGCTTCTGTGCCATAGTTTCCCCATCTGTAAAGTGGGAATATTATGAGTGCCTGCTTCAGAGATTACTGTGATTACTGAGATGATGCGTGTGGAGCTCCTGGCATAGTTCCTCATACACAGTCTGTGCTAGAAACTAGCCGCTCTTAGTTATTATTATTGCTCTCAATCGCTCTCAATGCACCATTTCAGTCATTTTGGAGTATTGAATAAGTCATTTGACAGAGTAATTCTTGGTGATAAGTAGCGAAAAAGGTTGCAATGGCAATAAACTTTTCTCAAATCAAATGAACTTTGGGAGACAAAGCATTGAAAACAGAATGTGGGTGGTGAAATATTTTTCACTTATTTTCCTTTTACTGCCTGCCTCAAACAACACACCTCGGTATGACTCAAATGGCCAAAGGACCAAAACAAACTTTTCCATGTCAACTTAATGCTGGTGCTTTGTAAGTAAATCCTCACTTCAGACTTACCTTGGCTAAAGAACACTTTCCAACTGCCACCTTTATCAGCAATGGGATCTGGAGAGGACATTCCTGCTGGGAAAGGGCCAAGTCAGACGTAGTTTACTGTAGCTGCCTGCTGTTATAAACATTTATGAAGTGATAAAGACTGAACGTACTTCAACTTATTTATTTTTATTTTTTCTATGATGTGAAGTAGTTGGCAGAAAACATTCAGAAACTAGGCATTTAACTGCATAGTTGAGAACCCCATCAAAAACAAAACCACTGAAGGTTATTTTGTTCTTGGAAGCTGCACCTCACTTTTCTGTTTTTTTGTTCTTTTCCCCCTTTCTTCAATGCATAGATCACTGAGGGCTTAGCTGGTTTTAAAGATATATATACTTTTGTTCTCATCATGAAAGACAACAAATGCATGCTCATGATAGATAAAAATACAGTGAAAATAAGAATCAAACTTTAAAAAATGAATTCCTCTACTCAAAAATATTCTTTGCCTTTTTGAAAATATTAGTCATTTAATATTGTTGGGGAGTGGGAGAGAATTCCTCCACTTCAATCTTCTTTAGTTCTTATGTCTGGACCAGTGATAAAATAAGAAAATGGACAGAAGACTTGATTAACAGATGAAAAAACAGTTTAATATGTGCACATGGGGGAATCACAGCTTGATGCTGACATCATGAAATGAGGCTCAAAGAAATGATTGAACTATGACCTTTTTATGCTTTCCAGACAAAGAAACAATAAATTAGTGAGAAATCAACAGGACAAAAAAAGTGCTCACTAGAAGGGAATTTAAGCTGGACTGGGTGTTTGTTCGTAAGGAATCTACACAAAGCTTGGGTGTTAACCATATTTGTTTAAACATGCGTTTTTGACTCTGGATTTTATAACTTCTGTGATAAGGTTACCTCTCAGTTCTTCAGGAGCAGGGAGAACACCTGTTATAGAGATGTAGTTCCTGTTTTTGAGGAGAGAGGGGAGAGCCAGAGAGTTCTTCATGCTTTTGCTGTTCTTCATGTGACTTTAGTTCTAAATAATCAACATACCATTGTGGGGTATTTTGGGTCAGCTTCCCCTGGGCCCTGACAATATGGTTTTCAGGTGAATTACTGATTTTCAGTAAAAATACTATCATAAACCCTCATTAAGGAAACACTTATTAATGACTTCATTGAATTGACATTATTTAGGGAGCATTTCTTGTCCCAGGTTGAGGTAATAAGATTTTCCATGGCCAGAGAAAGCATTTACTTACACACATATAGGTACAATGTATAGTTACTGTGTGTTTACATATGTATATATGCATGTATATATATATATATTTATATACATATACCCCCCCAAACAAGCTCACAATACAATACTTATACTTGCTTTGTACAGTGTGTTCTGATATTTTATTTTCTATATTATTAGCTTATCTTACTTTATCCACTTCTACAAGCCTATACATTGATTTCATAACCCACTGTTGAATCACAACCTGTAGCTTGAAAACATTGCTCCAGTTCTTTCACTAAAGCGTCAAGTTTTAACATTCTGTGTTGCAGTCCACTCTCTAATTAGTGTTTCCCAGGATACTTAGGGAGTCCACAGGGGCAGGATGCTAAGGACCAACAAGATAGTTAAATCCCTCCGCCTGTAGTCTACCTTCGGTCTCTGCCTCGAGACTTGACCTGGGGTTGGAGCCTTTGAGAACCCTATGAAGAGCAGCTTTTCAGAGGAAAATGTAGCAGCAAGTAGGATGTTGTCTGGATTGCTGAGAATCTGTATCTGTTACTGGTTTGGGCTCTTCTTTATACTCACTGCCCACTCAGCTTCAGCCTCGCACATCCCAGTTTGGGGTTTCATACAAACTGATTTGAGGGTGAAAGTACATTGCTTCCTAGGAAGACTTGGAAAAAGCAAACACACTCAGTCAATTCAATGCATATTTTTATAATTATTTCTTCTTCCCCATATAGCTCTTTTCCTTATCCCTGTAGTTTCTGGCTTTAGCCCACTGGGTTATTGAATAAGATAATCTTGGGCCACATTTCAGTTTTGACTCTGTGTGACCCTGAGTCTCCTC